TTCACGAACGCGAAAAATGAACAGCGGCCACCAGCTCAGCCTCTTCTACGCGAATGCGGGCCAGGTCACGCGAACGCGAGGCTAGAGGACCCAGATCTCCACGAACGCAATCCTGCACACGCGAACGTGAAGGGAAAAAGCTTCCTAGCCCACAGCACCCCAAATCCTTCATCGCGAACGTGAGGGTCTGATCGCGTTTGCGAAGAAGGAAACCAGAAGCAAAAATCTGATGTGTTGCAACTCAACTTCGGGCGGTCTGAAACGCACTCGAGCCCCTCGGGACCCCGTCCAACTACTCCAACAAGTCTATAAACATAATACGGACTTGCTCAAACTCTTGAAATGGAAAAAACAACAACAAAACCAATAATCACACCTCAAAACCAAATTGAATCAAACTTTGAACTTCAAGTTTCTAAATCGCTCCGAACGCATCGAGTCATACTTAGACTACTCGGATTAACACTAAATTTTGTGTGCAAGTCTTAAATGATATTACAGAACTATTATCGATCTCGAAATTCCATTCGGACCTTTGGTATCACCAAAATCTACTCCAAACCAAATTTAAAGAACTTCAAAAACCTTCAAGAACCAACTTTCACTATTAGGCGTCGAAACCCTCCCGGGTTACCCAAAACCCGATCCGAATATACGCCCAAGTCTGAAATCATCATGCGAACATACTGGAACCATCAAATTATGATTCCGAGGTCGTTTACTAAAAATGATGACCAATGTCAAATTTGGCCTTTCAAGCCAACCTTAAGGAACTAAGTGTTCCGATTTCAACCCAAACTCTTCTAAATCCCGAACCAACCATTCCCGCAAGTCATAAATCAGTAAAAGCAAGTACGGAAAGTCTTATTTAGGAAAACGGGGTTCTAAAAAGTAAAACGACCGGTCGGGTCATTACAGAAGTCCCCTTCCACTTTATCGTAGCTGTATATTTCTCTCAGACAGCTTCATTTTTATTCAGACCTTTATTTATATTATTCTAGTAGCTCGTGCACTTGTGACACCAGATTCGGGGATGTATTTGGATAATTTGTTTGTTATGGTCTTCCGCACTTTATTTCAGTAATGGACTTCTGTTTAATTTAATTTGTTTAGAAATGGTTAAGATTATTCTAATATTGGTTTGCCTAGAAAATGAAATATTAGGCGCCATGGCGGTCCCGAAGGTAAAAATTTCGGGAAGTGACAATATTTCTCATTTTTAACGAAAATGTTAGAAGAATTCATAGAAGTAGAAAAAAATTAACTCGTGGAAAGAAAATTTCTACAAGAGAGAAAGTGTCTTAAATAATGTGTAGCTAGAAGGAATTAAATAATGTAATCATGGATAGGATATTATTTTAGTCAATTAAATCTCATCAGTTAACTTTTAACCATAAGTGTCTCCAATCCAAATAGCAACTTGAAAAAATGAAAAGACCAGAAAACGGAGGGGAGTAAATTATTATACTAAATGTATACAGTTTTGAAATTCATGTAGAATTAGGTTAGATATACATGGGCAGATCCACATAGAGAATTGTTTTGCTCAAGCACCCATTGCCCATTGTATCGAACATATAATTTTATAGACAATTTCGCATGAAATGGATATATATATTTAGGTGAGCACCCATATTACTAAAATAGACTGGTGCGTGCCACTGGTTAATGGAATCTAAGTATGTGCTCTACGTGATCCCAAGTTCGATTCTTATGTAGTGCACTCTTTGACTTTCTTTTTCCTTTCCCTTTTACATGATGGATATATTCATATTTTTCGTCATTCAATCTATGTTTTATCCGTATTAAATATGAGTGGTTCGAAAACTTTATCTATGTTGTCTAAAACTTATTCAATTCGTCCATATCAATCCGACTCCTCCCATCATTTGCTAGCACTAATTAATAGTGAGCATATTACCTTAAAATGTTGGATCCACCACGGTAGATATAGTAGTAAATTTTGAGGAAAATGGTAATGACCCGGCCAGTCATTTTAAAAGTTGTAGCCTTCTTCCCCTATTTACTTCTCATTCTATGCTTTATAACTGTTATGTAACTTGCCGGGGTAGTCGGTTCAGGTCCGGAGAGATTTTAGAATGAATTGGAACACTTAGTTATAAAGTTTAAAACTTAAGTTGAAAGAGTTGACTGGATGTTGACCTATGTGTAAACGACCCCAGAATAGAATTTTGATGATTCTAACAGCTCCGTATGGTGATTTTGGACTTGGGAGCATGATCGAAATCTTATTTGGAAGTCCGTAGTTAAATTATGCTTGAAATGGCTAAAATAGGAATTTAAGTTTGAAAGTTTGACCGGGGAGTTAACTTTTTGATATCGGGGTCGGAATCCAGTTTTGAAAATTTTTATAGCTCCGTTATGTTATTTATGACTTGTGTGCAAAATTTGAGGTCAATCGGACTTGATTTGATAGGTTTCGGCATCGAATGTAGAAGTTGAAAATTCTTAAGTTTCATTAAGGTTGAATTGGGGTGTGATTTGTGGTTTTACCATTGTTTGATGTGATTTGAGGTTTCGACTAAGTTCGTATGATGTTTTAGGACTTGTTGGTGTATTTGGTTGAGGTCCCGGGGGCCTCGGGTGAGTTTTGGACGACTAACAGATCAAAATTCGGACTTGGAATTGCTGAAATCTGGTGTCTGGTTTTCTTCTATGCGATCGTGTGAGAATGTCTGCGATCGCGTAGACTTAATTAGGCAGCTGGAAATTTTGTGTTATGCGATCGCGTGGGCGAGTCCGCGATCGCATAGGTTTGGCAAGCTGTTCTATGCGAACGCGGGGCTAAGGCGTTCGCGAAGAGGAAACGAGGCAGGAGCTGGGCCACGCGCTTAATGCTTCGCGATTGCGTGAGAAGGTTCGCGATCGCGTAGGCTTGTGGAGACTGTGCTTCGCGATCACGTGGGATTTTACGCGATCGCGTAGAGTTATTTTTCGGCAATGAAAATTTGTGCTTCACGATCGCGTGAGTTGGTCCGTAATCGCATAGAAGAAATCACTGGGCAGGAGCAAGTCGAGGTAAGTGACTTGTCTAACCTTGTGTGGAGGAAATTTCTCCAAGATTGGTATTGATGTGAAAATTATAATGTGTTAAAATTCGTGTACACGAGGTGACGAATGTGTACACGGGTTAAATGTGGAAGATTATGTTTTTAAATTGTGTAGATCACTGTTGCATATTAATTAAATTAATTTATTTTGTTATATTCTTCATTATTGATCTGATTTTTATACTTTCAATTTGCTTGACCTTTTCCTGTTAATTATTTTACCTGTTTAGTTGGAACTTGGTTTCTTTTATTCTGTGCATTATTTGAAAGTTAAATTTCTTTAATTTAAATATTTTTAAAGTAAAGTATTTGATATTTTAAATTTGGTACGGAGGCAACATATTAAAAATTTTGAAATATTATTTTTGTTGAATTATTTATTCCCGAATATTTTGTTAGATTGTTGTACTCATTGTGATTGAGCCGTGAGCTCCCTGTTGTCGAAAATATTGTTGATATTGTTTATTTTGGCAAGTTGAAATATTTGGGCACTTGAGGTGCAAATTGTAATATATTGTGATATTGATACGCATGCGGTGGTATAAGGTCTAGGTGTTGAAACGCATGCGGTGAGATAAGGGTGGCTTGATATGTGTGGCTAGTAGGGGAACTACTAAAAGTCATGCGGTGTGATAAGGGTGGCTAAAACGTGAGATGCTATTTCGGGAAAAATATTTTTCTTTAAAATTTAACGTGAAGGCTGCCGCAGTGATATAAGAAAATTAGATATTATGGATTTTTTTATGATTGGGTCTACGAGGCGGTACCTCGGGAGTGCCCTTGTTGATATTTATTTATTGTCGCAGTTGCTTTTGATTATTATTGTGATTTTCTTAAAGTTGAAAATTCTGTTTTGTTTCCGCGAGATATTATTTGTCCTTATTCTGTGTAGTTAAAGGGTGACATATTATTTACTTGATTCATTTCTATTGTCATTTTATTGTTAGTATATTGTTAAACATGTCACCGTGTCTTTTATTATTCCATTAAGGCCTGACCTCACCTCGTCACTACTCTACCGATGTTAGGCTTGGCACTTACTGAGTACCGCTGTAGTGTACTCATACTACGCTTCTACACATCTTTTTGTGCAGATTCCGGTACTCCCTATTAGACCAGGCATCAGTGAGCTACCTGTGTACGGAGACTTCGAGATATATCTGACAGCGTCCGCATACTCCGGAGTCCCCTTCTTTCCTTATTATGATGTTTTCCCTATTCACATTAGCCTCTGATGTATAAAGATATCCGTACTACTTCTTTAGAGCTTGTGCCTTGTATTTCACCGGGTTTTGGGAATTTCTTTATGTATTGAGAGGTTGAGATTTTAAAAGTTTTTAATTATTATTTTGATTATTCCGCATATTGATAGGTTTACCTAATCTTAGAGACTAGGGGCCTTCACGACGTGAAAATTTGGGGTCGTGAGAGAAATCTTACCAGATCAATTATTTAATATTTTCATAATTCTTATCTACTCTAATTGTTGGGAGAAGCAGAGTCACATGCATAGGCATTAACATCTTTGTCCTGTAAAACATAAATATGCTCCAAAATTAGAAAACAAAGGATCACATAGTCGAAAACATTTTTAGTAACAAAGTTAAAGAAGATTTGTCCAACAATTCGTTTTATAAGTACTTCAAATATTAAGTATGTGGGGACTAATTTAATTAATTTGGTGTTAAGTTTGCAAGAAGCGTATCACATGCAGCGACTAACCCAATAGAGAATTATACCATTTAGTTAAGTTGGCCAAAATGGTTTCTGAAGATCACGTGCATGGTTATACGTGCTAGTAGTGATCTCTAAATCACCTCTAAAATGAATATTTAGGCTCTATTCCAACCAAAGCAGTGCCTATAAAAAGGCTCTAAATATTACCCTTCAAAAGCAATATGATTAGCTCAGTACTACTCCTTTTATAGCTTTTCAAGCTCTTGTTCTTCTTCTTCTTCTTCTGGTATTACACCATTTAATAAAGTTGCCAAAAATGATTTCTGAAGCTCATTTAAGTGGCTGCTAAGATTGACCAAAATGGTTTCTGAAGATCACGTGCATGGTTATACGTGCTAGTAGTGATCTCTAAATCACCTCTAAAATGAATATTTAGGCTTAATTCCAACCAAAACAGTGCCTATAAAAAGGCTCTAAATATTACCCTTCAAAAGCAATATCATTAGCTCAGTACTACTTCTTTTATAGCTTTTCAAGCTCTTGTTCTTCTTCTTCTTCTGGTATTACACCATTTAATAAAGTTGCCAAAAATGATTTCTGAAGCTCATTTAAGTGGCTGCTAAGATTGACCAAAATGGTTTCTGTATATCACGTGCATGGTTTATACGTGCTAGTAGTGATCTCTAAATCACCTCTTAATGCAAACCAAATAGTGCCTATAAAGAAGGCTCAAAAATCTTACGCTTCAGAAGCATCACTAGCTCAGTACTCCTTCTTTCATCTCCTTTAAAACTTTTGTTCAACTTCTTCTGCTAAAGAGATAAAAATATCTTTAAGCTTTAAGTGTGAAATGGCGAAAGTGATGGATTGTAACTCAGTTCTCATGGCTACGGTGTTTGGTACGTATTCTCTGTAAATGTAGTTTATTCTACTCTAATAAATTTCAATGTATACTTTAAAGTTATTTCATTACTAACATTTAGTTATATCATTTTTAGTTTTTCTACTGTTTCTTTGGACGGCAACTGAAGCGAGCCTCATTGTTAATGTAACCTACCTCGAGAGTGCCATAACCAAAGGAGCAGGTGACAATTGTTTTTTACTTTAGTACGAGTCTTACAATTTATTTATGTATTGGAAATTCTGTATCTTAAAAATAATTTTAAGTTGATGTGTTTTATGTTGTTTTATTAGTATGCTTGGATGGAAGTGCTCCTGCATTCCACTTTCATCCGGGAAGTGGCTCTGGAATTAATAGCTGGCTCAAATTTTTACTATGTTATTTGGGTTACAATTTTGGCTCATCTTTAGCTCTGAATTTCTAGGGTGGGGGATGGTGTGAAACCACTTCAGACTGCCAAGCTCGTGCAGCTAAGGACTTATCTTCGAAAAATATGCCAAAAATAACTTATTTTACTGGAGTTCTAAGCAATGATCCTCAACTAAATCCAGGTGGTGAATAGGTTATGCGTATTTAATTACCTTTTTTTTTTCTTTGAAGGTGCATCTTGTGGCACTAATACGAACTAATGAAAAAATATTTTCAACAATGTTTTTCAGATTTCTACAACTGGAACCTAGTCAAAATTAGATATTGTGACGGGTCATCATATACTGGCGATATTGAAGAAGTTGACCCCGTAAGTTGGTATCTTTCTCATTAGTCATGTTAGAAGATTATATATCTATGTAACTCTCTAACTAGAAATGTCAAAACATTTCAGGATACTAACCTCCACTTTAGAGGGGAAAGAATTTTTGAAGCTTTCATGGAGTATTTCTTAGGAAAAGGGATGATATATGCTAAAAATGTGCGTTCTGTTTCCCCCTAGCTCTTAGCCCTCTTATTTCTTTCTAATTTAAAATTTTTACGACAGGCCATCCTTAGTGGAACTTCAGCAGGAGGATTGGGTGCAATCCTACATTGTGACAAATTCAGACTTTTTCTCCCATTGACTGCTAGAGTCAAATGCATCTCTGATGCTGGCTTCTTTGTGAACGTGTACGTTCATGAATTCTTAAAAAAAAATTAAGTGTTTTTTTAATAACAAATTAACTAATTCTTGGATCGTGAATTTATGCAGAAAAACAATATCCGGAGAACCACATATTGAGGAAATGTATAAGAGGGTTGTTGCTTTGCATGTAAGAATTAAGCATCACTTAATTTAAGTATTTTCTTTTCTGTTATCTTTATTGCTTTATATCTCGACTTCACTTTCTCTTAGTTGTTTAATTTCTTTTCCCTAATACATAATTTACTCTGTTTTTTTGGAGTTTAGGGATCTGCCAAGAACCTACCACCCTCTTGTACCTTATTCAGCTTAGACAACCCAAGTTTGGTAAGAGCAATCTTTTTTGTTAGATAAAATAAAATTAGGCAACATGATATTTCTCATTAATATAAAATATGACGATTTTTGGCAGTGCTTCTTCCCTCAATATGCAGAACAACATATTCACACACCAATTTTCATTATTAATTCAGCCTATGATTCCTTTCAGGTTAGACAATCAATTTATATGATTATCAAATTTCTATTATTTCTTTCTTATCCCTTCACATCCTAAATGATTTTGCCTTTTGATTCTTAAAAATTAGATAAATAACAGTTTGGTTCCCAATGATGCTGATCCCTATAATGAATGGATATATTGCAAGCACGATATAAATGTATGCTCACCAAGTCAAATCCTAACTCTCCAAGGTATACTGGCCAGACAATTCATGTGACAAATTAAACTCTCTTTCTCCAACTTGCTTTTGATTTTGTTGCTGCAGATTTTAGGCTGGCATTTTTGGAGGCATTGAACGAACTAGGACCAAGTATATCAAGAGGTTATTTCATTTCCTCTTGTCATTCCCACCATGGCATTGAAATACAAGGCTACTGGTCCTACAACAACTCTCCAACAATAGCTAACAAGGTCATATTTTCCTTTCTTTTTTTCTTTATATATAGTAGTATAATTTTCAGCTTTCTTGTGTTATACGTTTGATACTAATTAACTCATTGCACGTAACAGACAATTGCTGAAGCTGTTGGAGATTGATTTTTTGACAAGTGTGAGTTCCAAGGGGTTTATTGCCCCTACCCTTGTGGCAAATTTTGCCAGTAGAAATTCTCATGTTGTACTACATACTAGCTATTATTTCTGTTCCTTTTTGTTTTTTTCAATTTTATTTTTTAACAAATGGGGTAGCTAGTGTAAAGCTACCTCTAATATCTTAGATTGTTGTTAGTCAACCTAGCTACTCATGTAATTGCTTAAGATTATTCTTCAAGATTTAATGTATTATGGCAGTTTGGAATATTTATTCTGTTTTCACTTCAACANATATATATATATGCTCACGAGTTGTCATGACCCAAAAACCAACCGTCGTGATGGCGCCTATCGTGGTACTAGGCAAGCCACTACTCAACTATTTTAACACAGTAAAAGCTTTAAAATTTTAGACGGAAGCAATTAATATTTAAGAAAACCTATTAGGAACTGAAATAAACCCACTACACAATACAATCTATCCCAAAACCGGAGAGTCATCGAGTACATGAGCATCTATACCAGGATCAGTCTAATACAATGTCTAAAGAATAAGAACTGAAAAGCGATAAAGATAATGAAGGAGAGCCAAGGCCTGCAAACGCAATGCACACTACTAGAAATTCGCTATTTTTCGACTACCAAAATAGTCGAAAAGTACCTATTTCGACTACTTTTCGACTGATTTAGAGTAGTCGGAAAAAGTTAGGTCAGAAAAACTTTTTCGACTAATGTAGTCGGAAATTTCCGACTACTGCACTCGGAAACGTTTTCTGCCAAAAATTAGAAAAAGGAGCTATTTTCCGACTGAAGTAGTCGAAAAATAAAAAAAAATATTATTTATTTTAAAAACTATTTCCGACTAATGTAGTCGGAATATTATATAAATAGTAATTATTTATTAGTTATTTTTATTTTATTTTTCGACTGCAATAGTCGGAAAACGCATTATTCTAGGCTCATATTCTGACTACAGTAGTCGAAAAACTGGGTTGATTTTTGATAGAATACAACCACTTTATTAGCACACCACATGTCAAATGACCAATGCTATAAACAACCAATTCAACCAACCAATTCCAACTAAACAACCTAATAATCAAACCAACCAATTTCAACTTCAACAAACAAATATTCAAATCCCATAATATCAAAAACCAAAACATTAGTCAAAGTCTAAATATTCAATATCAAGTCTAAGTAGCTAATACACATCGATACTAATATAATAAAGTCTAAACATATATACCACATCATCCAAATCTATCATAAAGTATAAATATAAAATCTAAACATCCAAAAATAGTAATCAACCATAAACCACTACTACGCATCAGATTCAGCCTCTTCAACATCATAAGAGTGGGGGCATGTGCTTTTTCATGTATTTATCCATTCCAGCAATGTGAGTTTTGGCTGTTTCACACCGTTTCGACAATAACTCAATTTGCTTTTTCTTTGCTTCCATTTCTTCCTTGATTTTGCGCAATATGAGCATCCGAAAATAATGGCGATGGACGAAAAGAGGAAGGTCGTTGTACTCCAAGCCCGTAAACTCTTCCTTTGGATACATCACCTGCCACATCTGTCCATATTGAAGTCATATTATCGGGTGACGGTTGGATTGGGGTACCATCATCAGAAGTAGGTTGTGTCGGACACCATTCGTCCAAGATTCTATAATATCAATCATGAAATAAAAGTAATAAGGATTATATAAATAAATTAATATCAAAGTGAAAATAGTCTTAAAGTTATGATCTTACATATTGTTCTGATGCACGTGTCTCAACCCATCCTTCTCTTGAACCGTCTTTCTTCTTTTTCATATGTGTCTCCGCAAAGACCTCAGCATGAGACACTGGTTCCCCTTTTAACTTTTTCTGCAAAGTTAATAGGATATATAAATTTTTTTTAAAAAGTTCAATTGTGTTTAAAGAAAACCAAGAAAAATAAAGGTAAAAATTACGAATCTCCGTCGATGCGCAGCAAAACTCATAGATCCCCCGGTGTGCAACGAGCCACCCTTTTGAGAGACTCGAGCTGCCTTTGCTCGTTCACTCTTCTTCTTAAATGCATCACTGTCCCATATTGCTAAAAACTTTATCCACACATCTTCTCTTATCCAACCAGGATTCTGCCTCTTTTCTCGAGCTTCATACAATAAACTTGTAATCATTTTTTTTTTTGCTTTCTTCACAATGACATCTTTTATTTCATTGTCATATCGTTGATCCCACACACACTTAGTCTGGAAAATAATAAAATAAAGTAGAGTAAAATTGGGTATTTGTTAAAAAATTTAAAAATAAAGTTTATATGTATCCTAAACGGATTCCACATTGCATCTCTAATATGATATAGAATTTCTCTCCATATACTCCAAGCATCATCGTAAAGTGGTTTAATAGACTCTGTAACCATATGCGCTGCAGTATATGGGGGGAAAAACTACATTAAAATTAACATATGTAAAATGTATATTCAACAGAGTAAAAATAAACATAAGGATTACTTACCCATCATGCTCATCCAGAACGATAATCAGCCTACTATATGCATCATATTGTGGAGTCTCTCTATCCCTTCGACCCCGAGAAGTTGCTGGTATAGCACTACCAATGGATGATGAAGTTGGTGTGTCAGAGACTCCAATATTTAACATAGATATGCTAGGTGTGCTTGATGACGGAGATGCAGCTGGTGTCGATGAAGTAGGCAGTGCTGAGGAGCTACTTTGTTGACTAATATAAAAACCGGGAGAAGAATTTATATTTGGTGTGGGAATAAAATTAAGGTTAGAGCTAGAGTTCATGCCAACTGAAGACACAGAAATGTGGACAGGCCCAGGTGGGGGCATAAAAAATATAGGTGGCAACGAAGTCGACCGAGGAGAAAAAGTAGGAGGAGGCCCCATATGTGGAGGAGGAGAGTTACCTACAGTTGGAGATTTTAATTGAGTCCTCTTACCCTTAAGTCGTCGACGATCGCTACCCCCTGATTCCATCTACGTAATATAAGCATAGTAAAAAACATAAAGCAAATCTTCAACATATTAGATGAATAAGAAATAATACAAAAACATAAAGAATTAGATGATTAAGAAAAATCATTAAAACATAAAGAGATAAAATCTTGAACATATTAGAAGATTAAGAAAAAAAACATAAAAATCCTAAAGGAATAATAAAAACATAAAGTAATTCCTCAACAAATTAGATGATTAAATAAAAACATAAAAACTAAAGAAATAATAAAAACATAAAGTAATTTTCAACAAATTAGATGATTAAGGAATAACATAAAACCTAACGAAATAATAAAAACATAAAGTAATTCTTCAAACATATTAGATAATTAAGGAAAAATATAAAATCTAAAGAGATAATAAAAAACCCAACAAGTCAATCATCTTCACTTGATTCATATTCATTATTAGATTCTTCCTCATCAATTGTTTCATATTCATTGGCTATGTTTTCCTCCTCATTTGCCCTCGATGTTCCTTCCCATCATCATTTAAATTTTATTTAAGGACAGAAATATCAAATTCTTCATAGATGCCTTCGCTATGCTGCAATTCACCTGCTAATTTATCATCTACTAATGCTTCAACACTTGAAATGTCATTCTGGTATGCTACATCCAAAACCTCTTCGACTTCCACTCTACCCACGGGTTTTGTTTTAATAACCACCCTCCATGTGGACTTATTCTTACACAAAAGATAAGGAGCGTAATACACTTATTTTACATTTTGTGCAATGATAAATGGATCATAGAATGGATAATCCCTCGTGTGCTTAATTTCAACTATTTTCTACTGAGGGTGCACCTTCGTACCTCTATGTGGTGTTGGATCATACCACTTGCACAGAAAGAGTACCAACTTTTTTTTTATCCAACCAACATTATACTCGAGTTCTAAAATCTCTTGAACCACACCATAATAATCAACATCCCCCTCACCTTTCACCCACACCCCACTATTACTGGTTTTCTTGCCCTTAGACCATTCTTCTGTATGGAACTTGTACCCATTAACATAATACCTATATATCTTTCTGATTCTGGGATCAGGTCCCCAAGCTATATCATGCAAAAATTGATCATTTACGCCATTAACTGGATTATGAACCTATATAGAATTACAGAAATTTAGAATTTTAAAATACATCTAATTAATTTGCAACTATCAAAAATTATATTAAATATTAAGTAATACTTACAAATTCTATAAACCACTTAGAAAACCTAGGATAAACAGCATTCTGCCTATGTGTACCCACAAAGTAACTGTCCGACAAAATTATAATATTCATTAGTTAAAATAATGACAAATCTTGTATAAAACTTGGTAATATAAATATATATTTACCTATAATAAGATTGGACCTCGGGGCAATTCAACAGTACATGTGGTGTAGCTGACTCTAGTTCCTTCTCAGTCAAAATGCACTATGAAGTACTTTTTGGACCACCTTTTCTGGTTGATTGAATATGGAAAAGGGTGGTGCTGAAGGATCATTACTTCCTCCATCGTCATGTCAATTAGATATATTTCTCAAACATGGCACATCATGTTCAAAATAATATGAACAAAAATAAGACGTTTCTTTAGCCAGATATGCCTGACATATAGATCCCTTAATTCTCGATCTATTTTTTACAGCCCGCTTACATTTGTCAATAATCCTGCATATTATGATTTCTTAGACGGAACAATATTTATTTAAAATAAATAAAGGTCAAATGATTAAAAATCATTACCTCTCAAAGGGATACATCCATCTACATTGAACTGGCCCTCCAAGTCGTACCTCTTGTGCAAGGTGAATTGGAAGATGCTCCATTACATCGAAGAAATCAAGAGGAAAAATTTTCGCCAACTTATTTAAAGTTAAGCGAATATTATTCTCCATATAAGTTAGATTCTCCACCCTCAATGTGCTAGAACACAACTCCTTAAACAATAAGCTTATCTCGGTGATAGGCTTCCATATTCTATCAGGCAAGGCATTGAACGCAATAGGCATCAATGATTCCATGAAAATATGACAATCATGGCTTTTCATTGACATCAACTTTTCTTTTTTCATGTCAACACACCTAGATAAGTTTGACACGTATCCATCCGGCATACTCAAATTCTTAACCCAATGACAAATCTCTCTTCTCTCATCCAAAGTGAATTTGTAGTCTTGGGCTTTTGAATCTTGTTGTTCAAGTATGTAAGGTACAACTCACTTCGCCTACAATATTCCTTCAAGTCCATCTTAGCCTTCAAGTTATCTTTTGTCTTGTTATTGACATCCATCACAGTATTAAACAAGTTATCAAAAAAGTTCTTCTCAATATGCATGACGTAAAGATTATACCGAAGAAGATAATGCTTCCAATAAGGTAACTCCCAAAATATGCTCTGTTTAGTCCAGTTATGGGTAACACCATAACCATGTATCTTATTAGGCAATGGAGACTCTATTAACTTAGGTAGATCCCTAACTCTGTTCCAAATTTCTTTTGGCGACAAGACTGAAGGTGAATCTTCATAATCAGATTAATTCTTCATAAATGCACTAATGTTTCTCCTAAATTCATGATCCATTGGCAAGAAACGACGGTGACAGTCAAACCATGTGTTCGTACGTCCATGTTTCAAAGTGAACACTTTTGTGTCTTCCATACAAGTCGGGAAAGCTAACTTTCCAGCAGTCGACCACCCGGATATCATTCCATAAGCAGGAAAATTATTTATAGTCTACATTAAAGCAGCACGCAATCTGAAGTTCTGTTTAGTTGATATATCATAGGTTTTCACATCTTGATGCTACAATAACTTTAACTCATCAATCAACGGATGCATGTATACATCAATCAAATCTTTTGGATTGTGTGGACTTGGAATAATACAAGTTAGGAACAAATATGGACTTGTCATACAAAACTCTGGAGGAAGATTATACGGCGTAACAAACACTGACCAACATGAATATGGTGCGGCAGAGACGGCAAATGGAGTGAATCCATCAACACGTAATCCCAACCTAATATTTCTTGGTTCACTTGCACAGTCCGGGAATACCCTATCAAAATGCTTCCATGCTTCTCCATCTGACGGGTGACGTAGAACAGCGGTTGGCCTTCTATGTTCATAGTGCCATCTCATATGAGGAGCGGAGCTCATTGTTGCATACAACCTCTTTAACCTTGGTATAAGGGGTAAGTAATGCATCGCCTTCATCGGAACCTTCTTCTTATTAGCATTTGTAACTTCCTTATAACGAGGTTGGTTACAAAACTTACAATTTTCTAATGCTGCATCATCCTTATAAAATAACATGCAAGCATTTATCACTACTAGTCAATCCTCTCTGATGAAAGTCCTAACTTGGACACCAATTTTTTTTGCAGCATAGAAATCTTTGGGTAAGTCAACTTTATTCGGATTTAGTTCATTCATAAGCCCAATGATAGAATCCATGCCCGCTTGAGAAATAGAACTATCAGATTTGATAGTTAGTAGTCTAACTGCAACAGACAACTTGGAATGCATTGAGCCTTCATACAAAGGACAACTAGCTTCCTCTAGTTGTTCATAAAAGCGCTTAGCCTCATCATTTGGTTCGGATTGAGCCCCTTGGAACATCTCAAAAGCATCTCTCATCAATTCATTGAATCGAGAATTTTTAAAATTATTCTCTATTCTAGGACTACCCTCACCACCAAAAGAATTATAAATATCATGATTCTCTCCATGAACAGTCTATACATAATAATTTTTTATAAATCCATTTTTGTAAAGATGAAGTTCAACTACATTTGGTCTCAATAACTTGACACACTTGCATTTAACACAAGGGCACCTAATTGTCCCTTCAATTAGAAAATTATTTAGCGATTTTGCCTTAGCAATAAACCCCACAACTCCTTCTATAAATTCCTCCCTCAATCCCGCACAATGAGGATGAGTCCTATTATACATCCATCTACGATGTTCAAATTCCATCTACATCAAGAGAAAAAACTATTGAGATATTCTTCTAAAGGTTCCTACTTTGAATAAGTGTAATACCTTCAACATTCTAACTATGAATGACTCTATAAATTTTAAATTTTCAAAACAAAAAGTTAGATTGATTACATTCAAAAGCATATCTACTAGTTTATAGCGGACTCAAAATTCAACAAGAGAAGTTTCACATGCCCAAATGACTAGTTAAATTTGCAACAACAACAATATTCGGAGAAAGTGCACTTAGTACTATGCTAAATACTTTAATTATTACATAGTATTATTTCATTATTTCATTCAAATTTAAATTGAGTTGAAANTATATATACCTATCGTAGCAAGGACGAAACCAAAAAACAAAAGTCGAAATGGAGGATGAACCAGTAGTATAGCCTTTCTTTAATTATCAACCTTTTTACTCTTTCAGTCTTCTGCAAAATCATGATGACTTGTATGAGTGAACGTAGAATAAAAAGTGACACCAAATAAATATGTAGGTAAATAACTAATCAATTTTTATTGTCAGAGTCCATCCATATGTTTTCACTAAATCATAAACAAGTACTTTCATATTCACCAAATCATCCATATTCAAATTTCATAATCCAAATTTATACTTAAGAGGTTATGTAAATTTCATATCAACATTTTCAAACACAAGTTATTATATCCAGATTTATAAGAACTAACAAAGTTCGACATTTATCAAATAATAAAAAGGAAAGAAGAAGAAGAATTATAAGCAGATATTGAACTTCGGTATCACTTGGCAGCCAACAACTCAACATTGAACTCCAAAATGCCAATGGTGCAATGTCAACCATTCAATATCAGTAAGGAAACCAAGAACTGAAATTGGATCTTAATTTCCAATTTAGGACCTTTTGGAGTTCCTTTATTTGGATGAATACCAATATAAAATAAATTCAGAAAATAAAACATGGGAATAGATGGAGTATTAATCTAATATCACTACATAATGTAGAATTTAAACACATTTGAAATATCTACTGGTTTACATAACCAAAGCAGTAGCTATTATACCATAACATCGATAGCCATGCCTGACACAAGGATTGTACAATTATATTATTAGTAAGGATTGTACAATTAGGGACCTTTTTCTTGATACTCTGCTACACCCTAAAACATATTACAAACTACTATAGTAAAGGAACATGATAATACAAAAATAAAAAAGACATGCGCAACACCACACTACTTTCCAGAATGGTTTTGTTGAACCATGGGTGTTTGCATCACTTTGCGGGTCAACTGCGCTTTAATTGGAGAAAACACCAGGTACATCATGTATCTATTATACATGAGGGAGATATTCATTACAGGTACAATGCCAACATCTTCAGGTTTGGGTATCAAATAAGGAGGGCAACCTGTATCAAAACAATTTTAGCCTTCACATGGACAACTATGCTGGAACGATTGGTGTGTCATTGGTTCAGAAACTTATCTTTGTCAAGAGTAGATTTCAGTTCAACCTACAGAGTGGTGTGGGTTAATGATTGTGATTACAACTATAAGTCATGCCTCGAGTTTATTCAAGTCTTTGCGAGTCTATTATACACAACTTTGATAATAGCCAGCAGCAAAGTACATAAAATTGTTAGAGAAATACTAAACACACATTCCATAGCCAGCCGCAAAGTTCACAGAAGACTACTAAATTGACTAAATTACAAGAACTAAGATAAATACCAACACCATACACAAAGACTACTAAGTTATTCTTGTGGAAAAGATAAAAACTAATAAGTACTAATTAATTTCATCAAAGAGGAAAAAATACAACGCGGTCAATGTGTAGTTTGGAGCATTACTTTCTAGAAAACGAAAATAGTAGGTTGTATAATGGTAAAAGAGTATAAATTGACACAGAGAGACACACCTGAGTCGTTGGCGGCGGCGGCGCCGGTCACAACCACTAAAGATGCCGCTGGAAGAGAGGAGGGATGTGAGCTATGACAGAGAAGAGAGAGTGTGGGAAAGGAAAAGTTAATCAGAAAAATAAGGGTCTCGGACCAAAATAACTAAGTTATCCGACTACAGTAATCGCTAAATAATATTTGACTAAGTTCCGACTACTATAGTCGGAAAAAAATTATTATTTAATTAATTTTATTTTAAACTTTTTCAACTACTGTAGTCGAAAATTATTTATATGTTATGTTCCGACTGCAATAGTCGAAAAAATATATGCGCAGAAAATTTTGCGAAACTTGACTATACTAGTAGTCGATAATGTAGTGGGCAAAATTCTAAAATATTAATATAAATACAAATATAAATTTTCCGACTATAGTAGTCGGAAAATTATGACTAACAATTTGTAGTCGGAAATGGTAGTCGAAAAAAAGCTTTTTTCTAGTAGTGGCAGCTACCTCGATAGTCTTCGGAATCAGTTGCTCAAATATCAACACCCGTTATGACCGGGAATACCTGGATCTGCACACGAAGTGCAGGGTGTAACGTGAGTATAACCAACTCAGTAAGTAACAATAATAAATAAGGAACTGAAAGATAGTGACGAGCCATGCAGTTATAATTCATTATCAGTAATCTCAACAAGAAAGTAGACGTGCTTTCAAATTCGGCAGTTTAAGTCAAATCAATTTATGAATGCCAGGTTCGAGAAAAATCCTGATACAATATCCCTCAGAAGCTTCAAAACAATGACATATAACAACTATGTGCAACAACAATGGAAGCAAATACTGCCACGGAAACAATCACTCAATCTTTCTCAATAGCTCATCACTTGGCTCTCAGCCCTCAACATTCACACTCAATAGGTACCTGCGCTCACTGGGGGTGTACAGACTCAGGAGGGGCTCCTTCAGCCCAAGCGCTATATTGCTGCGGTGTGCAGCCCAATCCATATGTATATACATCCCTGAGGCTTATTGAGGCGTGCAAACCGATCCATATATACAGCCCTAAGGCTCGTTGCGACGTGCAACCCGATCCATATATACAGCCCTAAGGCTCGTTGAGGCGTGCAACCCGATCAATATACATACATATGGCTCACAGCTCGGCACTCAGGCCCTAACTCAGTCACCAACCTCTCCAGTCTCTTGGGCTCTCAGAACTCATAAAAATGAGCCCAAACAAAGATAATATAATGTATCAACAAGAAACAAGAAGAGACTGAGATATGATATACAAGTAAATCGTGACTGAGTACAAAACAACAATTAGCTATTAATTCAACGAGTACACGATCTCTGCGGGTACCAACAGTGTAGTCGCATAGCATAAGCATGACTCCTAACATGATTTGCAGTCAAATTTCTATAACACAGGGAGAGCATATAGCTAACAACAAGTTATTCAACTTTACAGTTCCACGGAATGGACCAAGTCATAATTTCTATGGTGCACGCCCACACACCCGTCACCCAGCATGTGCATCATCACTAAATAATCATATAATAATAAAATCCAGAGTTTCATACCCTCAGGACCAGATTTAAAACTGTTACTTACCTCAAACTGCGCAAAACTCTACTCCAAAGTGCCTTTGCCTCTCGAATCGGTCTCCAAACACACCGAATCTAGCCACAAGAAGTACAATACAATTAATATAGGCGAAAGGAATCAATTCCATTAGAAAAACACGAAATTATAAGTCAAAATACGAAATTGGCTCAAATCGGCCCCCGGACCCACGTCTCGAAATCCGACAAAAGTCACAAAACCTGAAAGCCCATTCACCCACGAGTCTAACCATACCAAATTTATCAAAATCCGATACCATTTGGTCATCCAAATCCCCAAAATTCACTTTCCAATTCGCTAGCCCTAAACCCCTAAATTTCATCTCAAAAACTCACCAACTAGGTGTAAAATCAGTGGAAAAATATCATTATTGAAGATAAATGGATACAAGGAGCTTACCTCAATAATCACTTCAAAATCCCTCTAAAAATCCTCCAAAATCCGAGCTCAAAGTGGTGAAAATGGTGAAAAATCTCGAAGTCCCGTATTTATATGCATTTCCCAGGCCTTTCGCACCTGCGGTCTCTCATCCACACCTGTGGAACCGCTTCTGCAGTTATATCTCTGCTTCTGCGGAAACCACTTAAGCCACTGGGCTCGCACCTACGCTCCAGGTCTCGCACCTACGGAAGCGCTTCTGCGACCCTTCGTCCGCTTCTGCGGAAATGCCCAAACCTTCAAATTTCGCATCTGCGGAGCCATTCACGCATCTGCGGGCTCGCAGATGCGCATTCTCCTATGCACCTGTGTCCCCTGCCCTGCTTGGCCTTGCCCGCTTCTGCGGCCTCCCTCTTCACTCCTGCGGGCTCGCACCTGCGATTAAACTTCCACATGAGCGATTACACCAGCTGAGTTCAAACTTCAGCAGTCTTCCAACTTCAAAACATAGTCCGTTAACCACCCAAAATCAACCCCGAGCCCTCCGGGACCTCAACCAAACATACCAACAAGTCTTGTAACCCAATATGAATTTAGTCGAATCGTTAAATCACCTCAAACAATCTCAAAACACGAAATACACACGGATTCAAGTCTAATGAACTTCGAAATTTCTAAATTCTACAAACGACGCCGAAACCTATCAAATCACGTCCGATTGACGTCACATTTTGCATAAAAGTTATAAATGAACC